ACGCCCCCCTGGTCACGGCCGACAAATGATCTTCCAGTGTCAGCCGTGGATCCAGGAGGACACCCAAGTTGCGCGCCCTCTCTGAGGGGGCCAAAGTTTCGCCCCCTATAGACAGCGATGGAATCAGCTGACTATGCCGGGGCGCCGGCAACCACAGCCACTCGGTCTTGGAAGGGTTGAGTCTGAGTCTGTTCCTCCCTCGTGGACTTCAACTCCCAGAATTCTTGAGCCAACATGGCTCAGCTTGGAAACCTCTCCCTTTCCCCTCAGCATGGCTGGTTCAGGAATTCTGGGAATTGAAGTCCACGAGTCATAAAAGAGCCAAAGTTGCCTACCCCTGGTCTAGGATGCTCACAGTTTCCCAGTTGAAACTATTGTTGAGTTTCTTCATGAGTTGTGAGATTAAGGGGTTTTCATTGTATCTTCTGACTGCTAGTTAGTGTTCATAGACATGCTCTGCTAGTCTTCTGTTTGTCAGTACTAAATAGTGGCTGTTACATAGTAACAGCTATTATTATTTCTTTCCATAATTTCCATATTGGTAAGAAGAAAACAATTGTTGCGTTCATAGTGAAAAACAATCAGACTTTGGTAGCTTGAATTTTTGTAAATTATTGTCCACATTGTTTGAAAATTTATTTTCCAGTTGGACAATGATGTCTCCATTTTTATTTTCTCAGATAGAAGAGAGTGAAGAAGAATGGGGGGTTCCTCACTGCTTTACACTGAGAAGTCAACACCAATCCATTGTTGTTGCTGCGAGGTAATTATCTTGGACCATGTGCTTTTAGAACATCTATGTAGGGATTTGAGACAGTGTGCCTGTTCTACAGAAGATACACTTTGGATTATTATAGGTATTGTAGCTAGTTACAATGGTAATTCTGAATTCATTTGTAATCACCCTTTTGCAATAAACAGGCATTAGTTAATATAAAGTAAAGTAAGCTTGCAGAGCAGAAGGTGATAGTATGCTTTTTTGTAACTTTATCTGGCCTGGTTATAAAGGTTCCCCACCCCCCAAATAAATAGTCTGAAAGCAGGATATGGCTTAATTTTGCCTAACTTGTGAAGCTCAATACTATTTGCAATTAAAAAAAAGAACTACCCTTTTAGCATTCACAGGACACTGTGAAGAACTCTTCTCCCAAGTATTGGGCTAGCTGGGAAGCTGTGTGGGCTGGCACCTGAGGGAAGGGTACTTCTGTTTTTATCTTTGCTTTTATGTATAGATGTGAGCTGCCTAGAATTGTTATATGAGACAGGCAGCCATATAAGTCCTGCAAATAAACAATAAATAAACCTCTATTATTTTCCTAGTAACCGCATTGAAATGGACAAGTGGACTGAGGACCTTCAGATGGCCATTGACTTGGCAGAGAACTGTAATGATCCTGCTTCTGAATTCCATGGAAATAGCCCACCTGACACAAGTAAGTCCAGAACAAGAAAAGGGGTGTGTGTGAATCCTACAGTTCCAAAGTATCATTATATATGCAGTACATGCTGCAGGGCCCCTGCTTTAAAAACAAGGAAAATCAGGTCTTTTCTTATCTAATTTCAGTTCAGATAGATTATATGGCAGCTGGTTTGTGGGTATCAAATCCTATATTTTATTCTCTTTTAAGAATTTTAGAAATGTGTTTAATGGCAGTATATGGAATTGTATGCAAAGTAGTAAATGAAATGACGCTGAAATTAAAGAATGCCTTCTGTGTTCCAAAACAATAATTCATGTTTCACTGAAGTATGTACTAAGTCACTCTATTTAGAGCACAGAATTACTAGGGCCTAAATTATAAATCGATGTTTTTCAACCTTGGCAAATTTAAGACTTCAGCTCCCAGAATTCCCCAGCCAACATGGTCCATGGGGAATTCTGGGAATTGAAGTCCACACATCTTAAACTTGCTATCATTGAGAAACACTGTTATAGATAATAATAATAATGTTCCTATGCACAATCCCATAATGAATTATTGATTAATCAATTGGCCATTAATTTCTTGTCGGGATGCTTTCCTCAGGGAAAAAATATCTTAATCTCCTTCCATATTCATGTTTTCCCTATACAACCAACTCAAAACAGACAAGGCACTAAGATAGCTTCTTCACCATTTTGGAGATTTCCTTTAATCAGAGATAATATTTTGCTTATGATTTCATGCTCCGTATTTTATACAAGGGGGGGAAAAAAGAGGCTTTTCCCCTGCATTTTGTAGAGTCTCCCGAGGAGTCCACTGTAGACCAGGAATCGGAGGATGATCTCAATGCATCCCGCACCTCGCTTGAACGTCAAGCTCCTCACCGTGGCAACACTACAGTGCACGTCTGCTGGCACAGAAATACCAGTGTCTCTATGGTCGACTTTAGTATTGCAGTGGAGGTATCTGGCTCAAAATGGCTTGGACTGCAGCTCAAAAGAGCCATCTTCCTCAGGCACCATTTCCTTTCCAATCATTGCCCTCTTGGTTAATTGGAAACTACATTAAGTCCATTCAAAAGACATTCAGGCAATTTATAAATAATTTTACTTTTCATGTGATACCTTTCATGCTTCTAAATTAATTTCTATATGTTGATATCAAGAGGGGTTCTTCTGAGTATTTTTTTTTAATCCTCAGTATATTTGGAAAGGGCAATAGGTCTGTCTATGAGCTGCAGTCTGAAATGTGCAATTTGTTTTATTTTCTGCTGTCTGTTATTCTCTGGACTCTTACAATATTCTCCTCTCAGGCTTATCTGCCTCTCTCATGTTTTCTTTATCAGAGGAGATCTCTCTGTGTATTTTTAAAGATGCATTTTGGCTGTAGCTAAACCAATTTGATACAGATTAATGAGGTATGGAATCCAAAACATTCTCATCCCAAATCAATGAAATTTGCATGGAAAGTATTGCATTCTCATATCAATTCATGTTAGCTTTTATGTGGAACTTCGGTGTTTAATTTTATCAAAGATAAAGGGGATATTTGTGGAGATCATGTGTTGTTCTGCTTTCAGTTCTTCTTCATAAAATAAGGCTCCATTCAACTCTGTTGAAAAGTAGAAGAAAACAGTTCTTCTGAAGCACAATTTTTTATAAAATTGAGTTGAAGATGAAAAAATAACATAGCATTTCATTTAAATTATAAATTGGTTTAGCTTCTTTAAGGTACCTGCAGACACCCATTTCCAAAGGAATGCCTCTAGGTTGTTTTGGCTACATCAGGGAACGCACCGGATATACATGCCTTAGTTTTATAGAATAAAAGGTTCTATAGCTTTAAAAATAAAAATTTTAAAGAACTAAATATTTCCCTTGGATTCAGACATACCTGGTTGTAATTCTCTCCAAATACATTTGATCTTACTTCTGAGTGTGTGTGGCATATTCTATCAGAAACATCCTAATACTTCACCTCTGGGGATCAATAGGGTGACAAATCTTGCCGCCAGATTGCCCTCACATACTTGGAGTTTATCACATCAAACAACCTAGAAGCAGATCCATCTGCACTCACACAACTGTCTTTAGTTCCACAGCTTTTCCCATGACCGGCAAGTTACAGTCATACTTTCCTAATTCTGTGTTTAATGTCACATCAACATTATAGTTTATGCTTTCTCTCTGTGTCTTTCCTTCTTTCCCTCCTTCTTTCTCTTTTTCTTGTGGTAGAAGACCCTCTCACTGTCAGTGACTGTCCTTCCCCACCTGTTGGACTGATCAGTGATCAGCGGCCTGTTTCCATTTCATATGTCTGCTGGTACCGAATGCAAAGCCTGTCCTTTTATGATACCCTTCAGAAAATGAGGTAACCAAAATCAAAAGTAGAGAATTAGGACTACATGTGTGTTATTGTATTCCAGTACACACACATCCTGTCTGGTTTTTTGAAACTGGAATGGGTCAAAATGAAAGCTTTCAAAATACAGTAAAAAGCTTGTTAGCCCTGTTGACAATTTGGACGGTAATAGTGTTTCCTTTTAGCTGTTTTGATAAGAGCCTTGTTCATTATGCTGCTAAACGTCAACCAGAACTAAAAGAATAATAAAATTTTCCACTAAGAGAACAAAGATTCAGCAAGACTGATTATTTTTAAGCTAAAGTGTATGTTTATCTTCCCTTTGTCATAATCATTGGATGTATTTGATATTTAGCATTAGCTTCTTTCAAATATATGGTAGGCACACATTTAATCCAAAGCACCTTATTTTAACTATTTCATCAAAAAAAAGTTTCCAAATACTTAATTCAAATCAAAGCCTCTCATTTATGCAACTTTACAATCTATTTAAGTTTTACCTATTAAAATCAGTGGGGCCTAAGTTATTGTTATTAAGCTACCTTTCTAAAGATGACTTAAGAGAAATACATTCAATTTTCTGGACCCTTTTAAATAGTGGTGTTGTGTGAAATATTCTTTATAAATTTTCCCACCTGCACAAAGAATTATAATTTAAAATCATAGTAAAATTGTCTTCTAGCCACACACCCTTAAAAATAAATACTCCAGCATCAAATGTGTTTCAGCAAGTGGCTGCACTTAGCTGGTCTTGGCTGATCTCAGGAGCAAAGCAGGGGTAGTAGCCCTGATAACTAGTTGGAAGAGAGTGTTGGAATTTCAGGCCCAGAACATAAGCCAGGAAGTCAAGAGACCATTCTGGAAAAAAGGCAAGGGCAAAACGCTTCTGTAACTTTGTCAAGAAAATTGCATGTCTGCCAACACCACCTCAGTTTAAGTGGGGCTTCTAATAAGGTAACAGCAGATAATTTATTTCTTGCTAGATTCAACTTACAAGCCGACCTCACTGAATGAAACAGTTCAGAAACTTGAAATGCGATTTATTACCATTTTCAACAGACAAAAATAAACTCTTTCAATTTAGGCTGAAAAAATGCCATTCTACATGAGCCTTGCCTGCTTTCCATCATCTTGTTTTACCCTCTCCATGTATTTTATTTTGTTTGTTGTACTATTTCCCTCCTTTTTTCAGAACCAACTCTCTGGAAACCTTCTGCGAAAATTCAAAAACAGCAATGGGTGGCAGAAGCTTTGGGTGGTGTTCACCAACTTCTGCATGTTTTTCTACAAATCTCACCAGGTAATTGATTCTTCTGAAAGCAGAAAATAATCTTTATGTTACCTTTTTCACATTAGAGGATTGAAATGCCGTTTGATTAGCCCCAGGAGAGCTAATATAGATAGTCCTTGACCTATGACAGCAATTGGAATAAGACTTTTCATCATTAAGTAATGTAGTTGCATCACTGAACAATGGCAATCTGTGTAGTCCTCATTATTACAGTCATTAGGTGAGACAAATTCTTACCAGCTGTCCGCATCCTACAGGCATAGGAAAGGCAACAGGAAGTTGCAAGTTACCCATGGGCAGATGAGTGGCTGTTACCAGGTGAGGGATGGAACAAGGGGATAGGGGAAAGAGTCAGAGAAGAGAGAGTATGTGACAGTGCAAGGGATTGTGCAAGAGTGTCACATGAGTTGTGGAGAGTGAGAGGGGCTGTGAGAGACGCGCTGTGTGGGCCGAAGAAGACAATAGGGGATGTGAGAAGGTGAGTGAGAGGTATAGTGTGGGTTGGGGAGAGTGCAAGGGAGTATACTAGATTATTGCGTGGGTCAGGTAATGTGTGAGGAGATGCGCAAGAGATGTACAAGGGGTATTGCATGGAATATGAAGGGTCCATGAGAGATGTTCCGTGAGTTAGGAAGGGTAAGTGACTGTGTGAGAGGGTGCACAAGATGTGTAATGAGAATCAGGAAGAGTTCAGGGGGTGTGCAAGAGCTACCACACAAGTCAGAGTGGGTGTGTGGGGGCATTGTGTGTGTTGGGACGATATGCAGGGTGCACAAATAGCTAACAAAATGCAATTGCAGAGGATCTGGGGGAGGGAAAGACTTACCTCAGTGACTAGCAATCTTCCTGCTGGCTTCCCCATAGACTTTCTTAGGAAGCCAGCAGCATAATTGTGGTGTGCTTGGCAACTGGTCGTAAGTGCAACTGGGTTGCCAAGCACCCCAATCATGATCACATGGCCATGGGGGTATTGGGACTGCTGGAATGCCAAGGACCACCATTTGTTTAGCCCCATTGTAACTTTGTTGCTGATAGTTGCTGATTTATTTATTACATTTTAATATTGCCTATATTACTGTTTATAAATAACTCAAGGTGGTATACATAATAGTCCTTCCTCCTCTTTTCCCCCCACAACAACAATTGGGATTGGACTGAGAGGGAGTGACTGGCCCAAAGTCACTCAACCAACTTTCATGACTAAGGCGAGACTAGAGCTCACAGTCTCCTGGTTTCTCACCGGTTGCCTTAACTACTAGACCAAACTAGCTCTCAGCTGAATGAATGGTTGAACAGTTGAAACTGTCACAAATGGTCACAAGTCAAGGACAGCCTGTATTAGAAATTTCTGCAATGAAAACTGTGCACTTTCATGAGTGCTGTTTGAAAGTTGCTATTCTGTTATTGGTGGCTTTGGTTCCTACATTTCATTTCTCCGAGGAAGGGTACACCCAAAGATATTTGAGATTAATTACCGTAATATGAAACATTTTACAGAAAATGGATTAGCTGCAGGGATAATTAATTATGGATGAACAACTTGGAGAAAAAAATCGGCACTGAATTCTACAGTTTAGTCCAAAGGCACTTGATGGATTTCTGGGAATTCTAAATGCTTCAGTATTTCAGAATTAGGCTGTTTAAGTGGAAGTGTATAGTTAATAACTCTGCAGATAAAAACTAATCCAATGTTTATCTGCAGAAGTCTGCACCGCTACAAAAATCTGCTATCCAGACCTCTACTAACTTGCAGACATGTTAATCCTTTTTTAAAAAAATAAAATAAAATAGGTACATACTCTCCACTCCTGCCTGCCCCCAAAAGAGAAGGTTATTCTTGGTGTGGTATTTTGCTATTGGAAAAGGTTAAGTTTATAGTAAGAAAGTAGCAGTTGAAATGTGATGTCCAGATTTACATTGGCACAAATATGGCTGTGTGTGGAAAACAGAGGAACCGAACAGATTGGGAGCAGATGGAGCACAGAAAATCAATGAGGGAACAAAATAGGCAACGCAGCTTCATTCTTTCTGCTTTTTGCCTTCTTGTTCTATGTAGTGGATTCTTTGTGGGCTCTGTGCATCACACATAAGAGTGTTTGTAAGCCTACATAGGCCCCTCATAATGTTAGACTGTTTAGCTCTCTTTAATCTATTGCACTGTCCAACAGCATTGTAATGATTTGCTTCATTACTAAAACATCATTATCTTCAGGATCAGAGCAATCACCAGAACTATGGGCTTTTTCTTGAGAAAATCCTTATTGAGCTACCTTCAAATATACTTTTGATGTCAGCTAAGGAGGAGGTTCAAGAAGAAGATGGCACTCTCCCTATTTCTCCTTGCCATAGTTTTGATGTGCTTCCTATCTTATGCTCTTTAAGATACTGTGCCATAAATATATTAAATGCTGTGGTTAACTACTTCGCTTGGACAGAGATTTCTTGTGGAAACTGTATGTGTGGTGGGCTTTTCATAATTGTCCAAATTTCATGAAGCAAGCCCATAAAAGCTAGTGTTAGTCCAGAATCCCCATCACTAAGCAACATGGTCATAAAGTTGAACATTGCCTATTTGTGCCACTTAGCAATGGCAGTTTCTGCAGTCCTATTTGTTATTAAGGACATCATGTGACTGAGACTTCCAACTTCCTTCCAGCTTCCCCATTGACTTTTGGGAAGCCAGCAGGGAATGTCAGAAATTGTAGTTATATGACCACTTTCCTGTTACTGGCATAATCACACTATTTTTCATGTATAGAAGAGCTAACAGTTTATTCTCAGTCACTTCGTCAATCTCTCTGCTCAGATCTCCTTCGCAGAGCGAAGAGATTGGATAGAAAGAGATTTCATGAAAATATTGCAAGCTGTTTACATAGTGCATTTGTGGGTCCTAACTCCAGGCTGTCAATGCAGTTGCATTGTTTTTGATGTGTACAAGAGCAAACAGCTTACTCTCTTGCAATCCCTTCCTCTCCAATCTCTCTCCTCTCCAAGTAGGTGAGAGAGAAAAAACACAGATCAGACTCAGAACACTACATATTGACTGTAATGGTGTTCATGAACTGAGGGATTCTGCAACAGCAATAAATGGTCATCAATTGGTCATATAATTATTTTTTCAGCACCTTTGTAACTTTGAATGGTTGCTGAATGAGTAGTTGATAAGCGAGGATGTATGTACCTATATGTACTGTGGAAACTTTGCTTGCATCAGCTCGAGAAACTGAGATAAGGAACAGAGTCACCAGTGATCGTGCATTATGGATGAAGGTAGTCATCCAAGAGTTTACCAGAACCATAGAATATTATGACCATCCTCTCCATGCCATATTCCATATAACTCACAAATAACCACTTGAAGGCCACCGAATGATGAGCAGTCTCTCCTTTCCACTTGCACATCTGGTAAAAAATAAATACAGTAGACAACAGGAACATGAGAAGCTATGTCTACAGCCACCATGTTATAGGGAGTGTAGTAATTGTGCCAATAGTGGTTCACATTTAGGTGCAATATGTGTGGGGTCTCTTTCACAGAAACTCTTCTCAGTTCCAGTGAGATACAGAATATGGGGAAGAGACTGCCTTCTGCACTTGAGAATAACCTTTTGTAAAGCACCTGGTTGTTTCCTCTATGTCAGGGGTGTCAAACTGGCGGCCCACAGGCCAGATGCGTCAGTGCAGACCACCCCCAGTTCCATAAAGGCAAAAAACATTACATCACACGATTGAGTTTGACATCCATGCTCTAAGTGTTGGTTTAGGAGGTTAGGTAAACTCTGTTGCTGATTTTTATGATCAGGGTCTTTGTTTTATCCTTGGGTACTGCTCAGAGTCAGCTGTGAGATGAGCAGGCATATAAATCATGTAAATTCATTCATTCATTCACTGGGCTTTGAGTGTAGTGAAGGTGCTGGCCTAGAAACCAGGAAACAGTGAGTTCTCGTCCCACCTTGGGCATGAGAAAATAGCTGGGTAACTTTGGGCCAGGCACTCATCCTTCACTCACCAAACAGGGTTGTTTTTCTGGGGAAAATAGGAAGGAGAATTGGTATGTTTGCTGCCTTGAGCTGTACATGAAAGAAAAGATGTGATAAAAATCTAAGAAAAGAGAAGCTTGGGCAAATCCAAACCTATAAGCCTGTGTGCAGTGGAAAGACAAGAAGCCAATGTCTTTTGGGGAGGACCTTCCTGGGTTTTGTCTTTTACTTGAAACATACTGGGATTTGATGGTAGGAAGATAGTTTTGAAGCTCTTTGCATGCAGTTTTATTAATTTGTGAAGTGGGACCTTTGCTATTGCTACAACTCTACTGCCTTTTGTTTTCAGGACAATCATCCCTTAGCTAGCCTTCCTCTGCTGGGCTATTCTCTTACCATTCCTTCTGAATCTGAGAACATTAATAAAGACTATGTCTTTAAGCTACACTTCAAATCCCATGTGTACTATTTTAGGGCGGAGAGTGAATATACATTTGAAAGGTATGTTTGTTTACTCTGATTTTACTACATACTATGCTGTTAAATTCTATCATTAAAATGGATAGGTAATAAGTACTGTTATAATCCAGTCAATTTAAGTAAAGCAGCATGAAAATATTCTGTAGCAAAATCCATTTAAATATATGTGTCTTACTCTATAATATAGGTTAAGCTTAGTTTACAAATGGTGGTTAAGTGCAGGGTTTCTCAAATTCCACCAACTTTAGGATGGGTGGACTTCATGCTGGCTGGGGAATTCTGGGAGTTGAAGCCCACACCTCTTAAGACTGCTGAGGTTGAGAAATCTCAGAAACCTCTTGTACTTAACCATTACTGCCCTCTTTTTCCCCTCTGCCACCACTCTGTTCAAAGTAGAGGTTTTAAACTCTTCCCATATGAGATCCCATCAGAATCCCTATGCCTAGTTGCTTGTCCCAGAGAGATGAACTTGAAATGGGTGGAACAAAGATTGGCATTCCAGGTCACTTTTTTCTGTATCCCACTGGTGCCCTCTTAATCTCAAATTGCTTAGCAAGGCTATCAGGATGGGAAAGACAACCTATATCTTTGGGACAACCAATGGGAAGAGTCATCTCCATTGTTCTTCCCCAACTCCATTCCATTCTGGCCAACCAGATCAGCTGTTGGAAAAACAGGCTGGCATAGAATTGGGAAAGAACATTCTGCCTTATGCAGACAGGAGACCCACCTACTCCTTCCCTTTTCCCATCCTACTGATCTCTCCCAAATTCACCTAATAGGCAAATGTCTTCTGTGAAGCCACATCCACAGTAGAAAAGCTTCCCACCTGTACAGTGTAGGAAGTCCTGATGTTTGTCTTTCTATTGCTTAGGTGGATGGAGGTAATCCGAAGTGCCACAGGCCCAGCCTCGCGTGTCCGTGTATTAAGTCACGAAGAATCCCATGTTTATTGATGGCTGAACTCCAAATGGTTCATTCCAGCAACTGCTGCTTTTTTAGAGGATATTTGAATTTATTTTCCCCTTTTAAGATTTAGTAAAACACAAATCTATTAAAAATGTTTTGGATCAGCTTTTGAAATAATGCCTCTACAGGTTTGTTTACTATTATCAGCCACGTGAGGGTTTCATGTCTTGTATTTGTTCTTTGGAGTGGTTTTTTTAGCTTGTGCCAGTATTAAAATATTGTCCTTGGAGTGCCAAATGCCAAAAGATATTTCTTCGCCTCAAAAAATTTGCACCAGAAATATGTAGACCAATTTTTGTAGCAACTTAATTTTTTTTATACTTCCTTGAAAACCTGATGCCTCTTCTTTAATATACAGACCCTCAAAATGAGTTTTGGACTGATTTTTGTTTTGGTTATTATTATCTATTCACTTCACCACCTCAACATAAATCTTCAAGGTAAAGTTCTTTTATTTTTGATGTTTCTACACAGTTTGCTTGTAAGAATTAAAACTGGCAGCCAAATATGTAGTTTGTTCAATTCATCTCACTTCTGAACGTTGGAAATATTTCCTTCCGATATTGTCAGATGGATTTGCCTGCTTTTTTCTGATGAAAATTAATATTGAGATAGAAAATCATGCCCGAGAAACAGTTTACGTATTTTACTCCATGAAGTACTCGTAACAATGTCTTAGGAAATTTAAGATGGTATAATGATTTGTGTAACAAAATGTCAATATCTGTGTTCTACAAGGATTGTGGCATTAATTTTTTGTCAGAAAATTGGTGTTTCAATAAGAACAGGTGCGGGTGCATCTCTTCAAAGGAAACATTTGTTTCTGTAATGTTTTGTCCCAATATACTCTGTGCTTCTGCACCTTTATAAGTGGTACTATAAATCCATTCATATTTTGTCTGTACAAATTTGGAAGCAATTAGATAGCCTTAAATATGTTCATTTAATCAATGTCCAGCCCGATTAAGAGTCCAAAACAGCCTTTCTCAACCATTTTCCCCCTGGAGGAAGCTTTGAAATAATTTTCAGGGCTCAGAGAACCCTTGCATAAAAATTATTCTATCTAAAGCTCACTATGATTAGCAGCATGTAAAAATTCCCACCTTTGGAAGTGTTGACATTGCATGGCACACAAAATTTAAAACAACAACAACAGTATTTTGTTAATATAATAATGACCTTTCATGGAACCCAAGTTGAGAAAGGCTGTTCTAAAGATTTGATTGAGAGTATAAACTTTCCAGCAATTGAAATAGATTCATTGTGTATTATTAGATGTAATATGAATCCCACCACATGTCACACATTTTAAGAAAAATGATTTCTACTGTATCAATCTCTTGCTTTAAGAGCAGGTTTGGCAAATATAGAGGCTCTGTTGTATAAACATGTTTTAAGATTTGCTTACAGAAAAGGGAATAAAATACCTCAACAGCTTTAAACAGTGTATATAGCTTTGAGGGTTTCTTGCCATGATGTTTGTTCCTTGCCATTTACAAAAACGTGTTATTTTGAACATGCATAATTGATAACACATAATTTATATGTGTGCAACTGATTTGGGCAACTTACATAGGTTCATCAAAATGAGTCCATGAAAAGTTTTCCAGACATTTGCACAAACCTTTCTTTGGCCTACATATCCCAACATGCATTTTGCAATCCAGGATTGATTCAAAACTTTTTCTCTCCAATACCTCCCCCTCCCCCGGGGGCTGTGGTTTGATTTTTCCAGCTAAGCCATTAGATCGAAGCTGAATCCTGGAAGATTGTAGACCCTTGTTGCTGTAAAAAAAAGGCACTCCTTTTTAAATTGTTGTTTTGTTTTTAAGTGGTGGAAAGAAGACGAAAAAAGTCAACTAGGCTGCTGCTGACCTCATTATGTCTCTCCCAGCTCTTTTGTTTCTTAGAGAAGTAAACAGCTACAAATAGATTGGGAAAAGAAGGAAGTAAAAACGAAACAGCTGGAACTATAGAGTAGATTTTGCAAATAATTTCGAGGGTCATATAAAATCATTGTGCAAACTTATGACCATCTTTCTTATTTACTAGATCAGGGCTTTTCAACCTTTTCACCCATTGTACCACTTTTAGGATATGGCAATATCCAAATACCACCAGTCACCTAGCAAGGTGTCAAAAACTTGATGACCCCCCCCCCAAAAAAGGAAAAAAGTGATAAAGTACAGGTAGTCGTCGACTTACAACAGTTCTCTTAGTGACTGTTCGAAGTTACAATGGCACTGAAAAAAGTGCCCCCCAAGCCACAGCCGAGCAAGACACCTGCCTGCCCACCCGGCGGTGCTCTTCCTGCTGTTCGAGGTTTTCATTGTTGTGAGCATTTCTGTTTGGGATTGGCAGCGGAAGTGGGGTGGGAGGGTGTTTGGTTTTTATTCCACCTGTCTGCTGGGTGGTTGCAGCAGGTTTTGGTCACTTCACGTGACCCTGGGACACTGTGACCGTCATAAATATGAATCAGTTGCCAAGCATCTGAATGTAAATCATAAGACCCTGGAGATGCTGCAACATTCCAGCTGATCGGCGCTTCTTCTGGGCTCAGCAGAAGCGCCAGAATCAGCGCCGAGCTCTGGAGCCTGGCGCTGATTCTGGTGCTTCCACTGAACCCTGACAGTCCCAAAGAAGCACTGATCCTGGCGCTTCTGCTGAGCCCTGACAGCCCTGCAGCTCCAGCCGTCTCTCGCTCAGGCTTGTGCGGTGCTGCCACCAGTTCAGCTCATTCCCCACTACTTTTCTAGGATGGCCGCGTACCACCTGCCAGGTGCCAATGTACCACAGGTGGTACCCGTACCACTGGTTGAAAAGCCCTGTACTAGATGCAGCTTTTAGCTTGTGCCTTTTCTGTTCAGCAAGGTTTGCATAGTCTGGTGTTAGCAGCTGGATTTGCTTCCTAGGGAATCACAGTATTGTAATGTTAAGGGTGGCAGAAGTTTTCAGTTTTTGCCACTATCTTCTCAGGGTATAAATACCATGAGCACAAATCACTTATTCAGTGTTTTCTATTGCCTATCAGAGACTTCTTGCAGGAACATTGCTTTATAACTATTTTTGCTTTCAGCTCTTGCTGTTTAGATTTCCATACAAAATATAATAATCACAGCTCCTTTTTTAATATTAATGTTTCTAAATAAAGCAGCAACAGCACTGAAAGTGGGTATAAGGGTTTTCCCCACTTTATTCCAAAGGTATACGGTATAGTTATGCATTTCTATATTGGTTTCAAATAATTAAAACTAATTAATAAGTAATTAACTGAAACAGTTTGTGCTAATTGCATTTCCTTGATTTTTTATATATAAATTGGACTAAAGAAAGGAACTAAACAACCCCCTACTGACACAAGCCATCCTCATCAGTTTGGCAAGATACTGTGTGACAGTTTTACAAAACGGTTGACTGGAAAACTGATAAGCACATATGTGGTGCGGGTCTAGACTTAGTCATATATGCATGACACTTCCTATATCAAAACTGATTTCAAAAAGTATATATACCTCCCTTGTGATTCTGTTTTAGTCGAGTCATGACTGGGGGAAAAAAACCCACTCAAAATTCTTAGGCCATACTTCCATCTGTACACAACCAACAGTTTGATAAGAATATTTACATCCATTCTTCCAGAACATGGCAGCCATAACAGTATTTGGAGTTGCAATAACACAATAGCTTATGGTTCTGTTTTTCCCTTTAAGTGTCATTAAATTCTGAAGTCTACTTTCTTGTAAAGTGTGTGATATAAATACGCTGCTCAATGACATATCAAAATCGTTGTATTCTTTTATTTCTGTGTCATGAAACATACAAGGTTTTGAGAATAGGCTGATATCTGACATAAGCAAATATACTGTATACAGGTTATAAACTGCAGAATTACAGAAGTAAACAGAGCCTGATCAAAGAATAGGTCTTTGTTGCATATGTCACATGATGGCTAAAAATGGGACTCCATGGATAGAGATTAAAAAAGGCATTCCCAGATGCTTATGAAAAAAATAAGCCAGATATTAGACTGCTATGTTGTGCGTTTTCAAAAAGCAACTGTTGGCCAGTTAGACCTTTGCCATAATTCAGCAAGGAAATCATAATTTTATGCTTCTCTAAAAAAGCATCAAGTTCATACTTAGAATATTTTATCCAGCAACTGTGAATTACTCAATTATGTAAATGCTTCACATATTCAGACTCTTTACTAAAAGTTATTAGATGACCGAAATACACAATTAACTGCTCTCTTTCTAGTATCAATAATTTTAAATCTGAAGACTTTTAAAATTGATTTATGGCTCTAACAATTAAACATCTCTAATTAAGAACATTTCTAGTTCACCATAATGTACAACAGTAACTATGCTAACCTAAAAGAGCAAAAATAAAGTCTTGCGACATCTTAACCAATTTATTATGGCATAAATTGGATTAGAGACCAGTGAGATTTACTACAGTGTTTTAAATTGAAAACTTTCCAGGAAATATTCTGGGATGTTTAGTGTAACTTTCTGAAATATTACAAGTATTCTAGTGTACAGTGTTATATACCCTTTATGTTATGTATATAATGGAAAGGAGGATTTTATATGCTAATTGAAGCACTTTCAATGTTCTATGCATCATATATGAACATATCTTTTTAGAATAGCCTCCACCTCTCACCACAAAACCCCTGTGTGAAATGACTTGTTTGGACAAAATGAAAGAGCCATAACTTACATTGCTAATTCATTTTATAAATTTTGGAAATGAAAACCAAAGAAATATATCCTTTCCACATTGCTGGACTAACCTTCTACTTTGTCAAGTACACAAGTGTTACTAAGATTTTGTATACGTCCATATACATTATGGGTGCCAAAGGGGGAAAAATCAATAGATGGAAAAGCTACAAAATTCTACATGTAACTTTGCAAAAATTCAGTTGTCTGCATTCTACCGGTACAGGTATTTCACAGTATTCTAAACCCACAAATAATTGCTGACTAGTAAAATTTCATTTGGTTGTTAAAATGGACTCCTGCCCGTGAACATTTATATAATATCAGTAAGCCTTTAAAATGCCAAAATAACTGCTTTGCCATTTTGTGTATTTATGACTTCAATTCAGTAGCAGATTACAAGAACACAATGAAGTCTAGTTTTATATTTGTGCTTTGGCTCACTGCCTATATATTTCAGGACTTTGTATCCCAAATACCTGTCATCTTTCAAGTTCAAAATTAAATTCTTCCATCCATTGATACATATATAAGCCAATATACTATACACCCCTGTGTGCACTAATGACTGCAAAATTCCACTATTATCAAAAGCACCACTATTTTCAATGGGTTCTAAACTATTACAAAAATATCAATACTGAAAATTATGTAACATACAAAATGCTTCATATTAGGGTCAAGAACCAAACAAAATGTAGTGCAATGAACTCCAAGGGGTATATGTGGAGGGTGGCACCTAAATGTGAGTAAACAGGAGCAACTTTTCACAATTTCACAAGAAAAACCAGTGGTCTCAGAGTTCGTTTACAACTGTGTGGCTATAATGGAACTATATCTTCTAATTAATACTTAAAAAGTGGCCCAATAGACCCAGATAGAAAACCTTTGCAGTTTAAAAGACTTGGCTTACTTTTAGATTGCTTAGCTATTTCATTATGCAAAATGGGAAATTTCTACATCAGCAAATTTTGGTGCCCTTAATAAAACGGTTACGACAGAAATATTACCTTAGTTAATACACAGGAAACTGCTATCAATTGCCAAAGAATACCGTAATCCTGAATACATACAACACTGCAATGCTGGATTTTTTTTTAAGGACAGTTCTAAAACAATGTTTAAAGGATCAATAAACAGTACTCTAAAGTTAAACAGTCAGAGTAAAAACAGACTCGAAACAACAAAAGGTGTTTTAGAATTTAAATTTCATTACAATATAATGCAAAGACAATTTGCTTTCACCAAGTTGTTTCATTTATATCAAACAAGATGTCATTTTAAAATTCTATGCATATTTACAATTTATTGGGATTAAGTCAAACTGATATTTAAATAAACTGCACTGGCTCAAACAGCAAACTGGCAAAATAGTAATCTTTTAACTGGTTTAAAATAAACTGTGTTTGTTGGAAAAAACCATATTTGTAAAAGAACATAGCTCTAACAAAATATTAATTTACTAATTTTAAAGAGCAAGTCATTGAGGTTTTTTGGTTTCCATTTACAAAATCTTTCAGTCAACATTCTTGCAATCAAAAGTCTTAAAAGGTTACCAGATCTAGGACTGCATATAAGCTTAGCTGAAAACTCAAAAGAGATCTCTCACCTATCTTGTCCTAATTCAACATGTAGCTTACATCATGCTACATTTCACAGACTGTAAACACTGGGGTAGAGACTAACACAAAATCCATTCAGTTAACATCACACCCACTCTAATGGGATGGCAGCATGGCTGACTCAAATATAAGGCAGTAAAATTTAGTAAATAGTTCAATCTTTACATTGATGAGGATATTACAGGTTCTAAACATGCAGTGAGTTCATTTCCATTGACACAATGTGCCTATCCCTTAATCCATTATTATGTTTTTTCTCAAAACAGAGTAGAAAGGAAATTTTCACCCAAGCCTTGGTCATAGGGTGAAATCGTCTATAGCAAGTTGTCTTTTAGAGTTACTATGTTTATTTTTTTAAGATTACAATACAGATTTCATGTTGAAATCAAAACAGTGTAAAAATATTGAAAACATTTTATTGTAAATCAACAAAGAGCAAGCCCCTTCTAAAATTCTTGACTAACCACACCCTTTTAACTACATTTTTATTCCACTTTTCTCCAAATACCTCAAAATAAAAATTCAGATGGGATTTCTATCATGTATTTATTTTAATAATAAACAAGAATTAAACTGTACTAGTTCTTACCTGTTAAAGTGAAACTGCAGTTTTTTTTATTTTAGATCTTAATGACATTTCATATATCTTCCTCTACCACACAATGAATTTCAGATACTAAACTAGGACCAAATTCTGATTTCAATGATTGTAACTAAAGTTGCTCACATTTTTAAAATTCTTTTTATAACCAGCATTTTGCAAAACTGCCATTATTTATCCAGGATTTTTAGGAAGCATATAAAAAAGTGCCTTTTTCAGTTATATGTTAAGATTAATTCCAAAAGAAAACTATTAAAAAACAAATTTAAACTTTGGATTGGCACAATTTTAAACAAGATATAAAACCATGAACATAAGCGAAACTAGAGAACTCCAAAGAATATGATGTCCTAAATTAAAACGATCAGTTTCGTACCATGATTAGAAAAAAAAAAAATGCTGCTGTGTAACAAAAAAAAATCTGCATCTGAGGTATAAACCAGATTTTTATAGCACGGCTTTATTTCTGACCTATAAACAAAGGTCAAGCAAAACCTGCTATAATACAATTTAAAATTTTCATAGAAACAAAGACAAGCCTATAATAAGTTGATCTATCTGTCAAAATATTTACCTCACTAGTATCATCTACAGAAGTACTTGGCAATTTGTACAGAGGAATCCGTATGCATGTCAAGCAAATTTCAGTAAAAAAGTGATTATATACAAATTTGTACACAGAGCCAATAATACATCCAATTCACATATTTTTTTTACTTAAAGCGGTTGCCTTCAACTCTTTCAAACCCCAAATCCATGTTAAATGTAAACATGGAACATGGAATTGAATTCCAGACTTCCATTTCTTTCTTGAAACAAAACCTTAAAACAAAATGGTGGCAGTGCCACTAGTGCACACATTTCAGGTTGAAATGCCACCCACCTATGGATCCTTGAGCTGAAGGCCAATGACTTAACACAAGATACCTGAGATTTCACAATAGCTTTAGTTCCTAACTGAAATCCTAAATTTACATCTCAGAAATGTATAAAGATACCTCCTTTGAATATGTGCATTATTTTTTTTTTAAAAAAAAAAACCTATACAGAGTTGAAAAACAGTGCTCTTGCTAAAACACCTTCTTCTGTTGTTGATGCACCTTCAGGAATGTCCATGTGATTGCCTGCCAATTGTGGAAGACCAACCTGAGAACAGGTGCCTTAAGGAGCCTCAGTGAAGTAGCAAAGGTGGTCACACAGTCAGACTTCAATGGGATGAACTGCTCCCTCCAGATACTGAATACCTGGGAAGGGGAAAAGCATGTCATTAAAACAAAAGTAGTGAACAAAATGTTTTACACAGCAAATAAAAAATATCTCTGTTGCAATATTTTAGAAAAATATACTCTTGCACTTAAAAGCAGAGTCTTGAGCAAGAATTAAGGTTGGGAACCAGCTTTCCAAAGCTACCTTTCTTATAGGTTTTAAAGAATTTTCTAAACATAACAGTACCAATGGCCAATACGTGCCATACATAGTATATAAAACAACTTTCACCATCAAAGAATATTATGAGCTTTTTTTTCCTGATTTTATATCTGAAATTGAGATAGCCAAAACATATTTGCTATTCTGGAAGGATCTGCGACTTTCAGCAGGGATGCTTGCTTAACTTCCCCAACATCAAAACAAAAAGGCAAATATTTCCATCAGTAAAATACATGCTGACCGTATTCTGATAGAAGCTAATATTTGCTATGGTCCAATAGGAACAGTCCAATAAAAATTAAAACTGCTTTTAAGTTTATACTGCTATTTTTAGTACATTAACATGTATTCTACACATTCTAAGAATATCATCATCATCCTTTTTATAAAGACCGAACCACAGCTCCAATGATTTTAATACGAATAATGATAGAAAATGTGTATAGTGTGTCCAAAATGAATGTTGCTGCTGTTATTGTTATTATTATTGTAATTAATTATTACCTCTGAAGCCGTTGTACTAGTTCAGACACCATGGTATCTGAAATTCCTGGGCAAGCTTCTTCAGCTAAATAAATAGCCTCTCTCAGTTCTTCTATGGAGCCCATGTTCCCCCCACAAGCTTGACTTCTCTCTTTCAACTAAAAATCAGAAGGGGATTAGTTCTAAGCATCTGAAACATTTGCAAAATAAATGTGTATGGATAAAAAATAATAACAACAGAGCTCTGTGCTTTGTCTATACAGGGTGCATATAAACCATTTTATAGAGTCTGAATAAGCCTTAAATCAATGCAAATTAGAAAATACACATTTTCTATGGAATTCTAGGAAGGAAACGAGCTTTAAATTAGCAACCATTTGTCAATTTACATAGGAGCCATAATCCAGATGGTACACTGCTAACACAACAGGACCATTTCTGTTATTTTGATCACAACTACTACTCTTGCTCTTTACCACTCCTCTTTCCCTACATTAGAAATCCTTTTTAAAAATAAGAGGGAAGCAATACAAGTGAGGCTGAGGTTTTTCTAAAAAAAGATTTATTACACCTCATCATTTTCACTACATGGAAGTGAATTTCCTCTGCTACAAACCAAAAAAAAGATATTTTTATTGCCTTTTAAAAAAGATCTTACTGTTGACCAACACTCAGCATGAATAACCGTTTAAGAAACGGTAAAGTAGGAACTGCATATACTAAATGCCTAGTTAAGTCTATGTGGAACAGCTTCACATACGACAGCCCACATCCTCCTTCGCTGGGAGTTTTTTTTTTTTTCCCCTTGTGGCATCACAAAGGAAGACGAGCCAAGTTCTCCCATTGTTGCTGGTTTCTCCACCCACCCTGCTCTCAATTGGCCTTAAAGCAGTGGTTCTCAACCTTTTTAATGCCGTGACCCCAACCGGTCGAAACCAGTCGTAAGTCGAGGACTAAACCGGTCGTAAGTCGACTAAACCGGTCGTAAGTCGAGGACTACCCAACCGGTCGTAAGTTGAGGACTTTCCCTGCCCGGGAGCGCCGCGCATGCGTGGTTTTGCCCCCTGCACCGGCCGAGGCGTAGCTGGCAAGCGGCAGAGACGGAGCAGGCCGACCACCAGCTGGCCCAGCCCAAGGGAGGTAAGGCACCCGCCGGAAAAGGAAAAAAAATGGCGGACAGCCTTGCTTGGCGACCCCGTGAAATGGTCGATCGACCCCAAATGGGGTCGCAACCCATAGGTTGAGAACCGCTGCCTTAAAGCCATGGGAAAGAAGCAGGCTCCTCTTTCTTCATTCAAGCCCAGTTCCAGTTAGAAGTGAGAAGTCTAGCCCTACCCCTTGCATGTGGGATGTCTCAGAGCTTGACAGACTCCTCTCTCCTATTTAACATTCACATGAAGCTGATGAGGTCATCTGATGACACAGATAACTCAGCTCCTGTTTCACCTAAGTAATGTCTTCAAGGCTCCGTTCTCCATTTTGGAGGTTGTGAGGGTATGGATGGAGAAAAGGCTCAGGCTCAGCCCTAACAAGATCAAGTGCTGTGTGATGTAGGACGACTAGATCATGGAGATCCTCTATCTTTTTTTGTGGAGAGGACTGGGCTGCCCCAGTCACAAATTGTTTGCAATCTGGGGATACTCCTGGTCTTGCAACTCATGCTTTTGGAGCAAATGGCAGTCTTGGCTAGAGGGGCTTTTGCCTAAACCAGTGTTTCTCAACCTTGACAATTTTAAGGCATGTGGACTTCAACTCCCAGAATTCCACAGCCAGCATTGCTGGCTGTGGAATTCTGGGAGTTGAAGTCCACATGCCTTAAAATTGTCAAGGTTGAGAAACACTGGCCTAAACCCATTTTGCATGTCTATGGCAACCATGCCTAGATTGGGAGGCTCAGCTATTGGACACCCATGCCTTAGTGACTTCTTCACTGGATTATTACAAGGCGTTCTAAATGGGACTCCCTACAGCTGATCCACAGTTCAGCAGTGCAGGTAATTATGGGCATATAATACTTTTTACCAGAAGGTTTCTGGCTGTAAAACAAGGTACTGGTTATCTATCATGCATAAACTCCTCCATGGTACAACCAGGGGCTATCTATCAGTGTTGCTGCCTACCCAAAAAGTTTGGATCCCATCAATTAAACAGTGCATCAGGTGGGATTTGGAAAGGCCATCATTGCCCTGAGATCTGGATGCTTCCAACCATGCTGGTTTTTAGAAATGCCATGGCTCTTCCCCTGGACTCTGGGCCAGGAGACTGCAAAAACCATGTCTTGATATTAATGCAAAATTAATTTTGACCCCAGCACTACAAGTTTATGTGTATGCATAGACACTGAACTAAATATAATTAAACTGAAACAAATACATGTTATCACTCCAACACGTGGCACTTGCCACAATTTTGCTGAGACAACCACCACGTCAAGATCAATGTATGCTCCCCCCCGCACCTTACACCTTTGGTGGAAGCAATCCTGGAGTCAATAACATGGATGGCCTTTAAAAAACCCTATCCAGGATCCCCAGATGCTCTAAAAGAATGGGCGGCTTCCAAACAAAAATTAAAACAATAGCAAGAACAACATAAAACCATACTAAAATCATAAGCATTAAAAAACTTGGCACCAAGTTAAGCTTCCAACATGCAATCATTCATTAAATCCTCTCCCTATGTATCACAAGAGTTGAGCAGCTTCTCTTTCAAAATGCTTGAAAGGTACGCTTATAAGAACATAATTTTCCCCTATTTTCTCCAGCTTTTTCATACAATCTCTAAATGGGAGAAGAAATGATTAATACAATGATATTACCTCTGTGAATAATGGCGATATAATTGTAGATAAGCATCGAGATGCAGGGCGCCTTTGAATGGTATTTTCCTTTCAGGAAAAAAAAATACACTGCAAATTAGTTAAAGGAGAATATAAAGACTTGTTAAGAAGCCAGATTGCCTGTATAATTGCTTATTAAGTTCTTACGCTACAAAAAAATTAATAGATACATATCAAATTATGTGCAAGGCAAAGAGCCTATTAGAACTGATCAATGCATTCAATCCTCAAATGAAAAATTAAATGTAGCAAAATACATATATCTGATGGAACTTTGGAATGAGCTGATTTCCTGTCAGTCAGAAAGAAAAACAAAATAAGAGAAGGGAATACAAGAACAGAGGTTTACACCCTGATTCTACAACTGCTGTTTTTTTCTCTCCAACAATAGGTCTTCAAATGTTGAATCAAAGATTCTTTTGAATCGCATCTCGAGCTTTTCATTGGAATGGGTGGTCAACTGTTCTCAAATCAGGTATGATTTGAGTAACCAGGGCCAGCATTTCCATCTGTTTGGAAAGGGGAGGTTGGGTGGAATTTGAGGATGATAAACATGCAACCTTTATTTTGGCCCTCAAAAAGAGAAAAATATTGCTGCTGAAAACTTTTGCTAACTTTTCAATGTAATCTTGGGGAGAGAAAGGCTTTGCTGCTAAATTGCAGTGGTAGCAATCTAAGGATGCTTTGGGGCAGTGTTTTTCAAATTGGGCAAGTTTAAGATGTGTGCTTCGACTATGAGCAAACTACAAGTTTAAGATGTGTGGACATCAACTCCCAGAGTCAAAGTCCACACATCTTAAACTTGCCCAATTTAAAAAACACTACTTTAGGGACTGCAAAAACAGAGCTGGAGACAATTGGGCTCATGGTGTTTTGGAGAACATAAGCAGACTTCCAGTTCTTTGGATTTCAGCCACTGCTGCCCTTTCAACTGACTCTAAATAAGATGATGACTGTCCAGACTTTCCAACTTGCAGGATAGACAACACATAAGAGCTAGCAACAGGTAATCAAACAATAATTCATACTATACTTTACGCTGCTTTGCAACAGCCAACCTTCAGAAAACAATTTGTCTCAAAGAAACAACAACCTTGGTAAACAGCACAAGGGTTTTTACATTTGAGTTTTCAATCTGCATAGAATTGGATCCTCACAATTTAGAAGAGACCTCAAGATAAGGCAGCCATCAAAATAGGCATTACTGTTTAAAATACTACAACAATAATAATAATGTCTCACAATATTAATAATAGTAAAATACCTTGTTTCTTTCCCACTCATGGAATTGGGTCGCTCCGTTTTCCAGATTCTTAGGATCTTTTTCTCGGATTGTGAATATCCAGTCACCCGAATCACTGCCACCTGATGCCTGCTCATCTGTTTCACTTTAACACAAATAAATTTCTGACATTTACAAGACGGTCTTGTTATTTACGATGAAGTGATGACAATAGAAAATCATGTTTTAAGCAAAACGACAAAAATCTAAATTATATTAGAAACAAAAAATGGTGCGAGAGATGCTTTTATTAATTAGGAATTAAGGCTCCTGAATTTAGCTCAGATAACAAGCCTTCTCTATTTTTATATCTCTTGGAAACTTGTAGGAACCAAATTAAAGCAAGCAAGCAGTATAGTAGTTTATACCACCATTATTTGTCTTGATTAAAGTGTTAGTCTGTTCAAGTTAAAATAAGTCATCTGTGAGCAGAAGGAAAAATCTTTTAGTAGCAAGTCAAAATGTAAGATTTTGTATTTGACAAAGTAATGTTTGTATTTACTTTGCCAAATTTTGTATTTGGCAAAATTTTACAAAGTAGATCACAACCTGCTTCTTGGTAAGCTAGAAAAATGTGGGATAGGCAGCATCACCACCATATGGATTTGTAACTGGCTGACAAACCATACTCAACGTGTAGTCCTCAAAGGAACTACATCCACATGGAGCGAAGTAAGTAGTAGGGTACCTCAGGGTTCAGTTTTAGGCCCAGTACTCTTCAATATCTTCATAAAGGATTTAAATGAGGGAATAGAAGGGGAACTCATCAAATTTGCAGATGACAGTAAGCTGGCAGGAATAGCCACCACCCTAAAAGATAGGCTCAAGATCCAGATGGATGTCGACAGACTTGAATACTGGACCCTGTCTTATAAAATGAAATTCAATGTAGATAAAAAGGTTTTACACTTAGACAAGAAAAACCAACTGTACAGTATAGACTAGGTCAAACTTTGCTGAATGCCAGCAATTACGAAAGGGATCTTGGAGTCCAAGTGGACAATCACTTAAATATGAGCCAATAGTGTGAGGCAGCAGCCAAAAAAGCCAATGCAATCCTAGGCTGCATTAATAGAAGGATAGAATCAAGATCACGTGAAGTATTAGTACCACTTTACTAAGCCTTAATACTTAGTACACATGGAACACTGCAGCCAGTTTTGGTCACCACAATATAAAAAAAATGTTGACTCTGGAAAGAGTGCAGAAAAGAGTATCAAAGATGATTAGGGGGCTGGAGACTAAGATATATGAAGAACAGTTGCAGGAAATGGATATGTCTAGTCTAGTAAAAAGAAGGACTGGGGAAATATGATAACAGTGTTCCAGTATTTGAGGGATTGAGGGGGGGGACTATTTTCCAAAGCACCAGAAGGCAAGACAAGAACCAATGGATGGAAACTAATCAAGGAGAGAAGCAACCTAGAACTAAAGAGAAATGTACTTACGGTGAGAACAATCAACCAGTGGAATGCCTTGCCTTCAGAAGTTATGGGTGCCCCATCACTGGAGGCTTTCAAGAAGAGACTGGATAGCTTGTCTGAAATGGTATATACTCTCCTGTTTGTGCAGGGAGTTGGACTAGTTGACCTTCAAGGTCTCTTCCAACTCTTTTATTCTATGTTCTATGTATCATATTTGTGAATATATAACAATCAATCTGTTCTTTCAAATAGATACAATATACAATAGAGAATAACCTAACATTTATCCTGTTTTCTCCTTCCCACTATAGAGAATATATTTATTCCCTACATTTTCTTCTCAAATTATAAGACCAATTTGTATGATTCATAGTAAGAATCAGTAAGAAAGGGAATTGGATATGGCCAGTGGAAAGACTAAGGTTATGGAGAAAGCCTCTAAGAGAAATTCAAGAAATTTTCAAGACCTTGAAGACACCCTTCAAAATCAAGGATGGGTAATAATTCAGTTTTTAATTTCTGTACATAAAATGGTAACAGAATTGAATTTTACATGAATGCCACAAAGTATTTCAGAAGATTAATTTCCCCAAAAAGCATCAAATAACCCTTACAATAGCTTAATTAGAATGTTCAGATAAGGCAATATTTCTCAGCTTTTGCAACTCTTAAGATGTATGGACTTCAACTCCCAGAATTCCCCAGGCAGTCATGAGAGTTGAAGTCTGTCTTTCTTAGAATTGCCAAGAATTAGAAACACTGAGATAAGGCATGAGATGTTCTAGATTTCTCTAAAACTTTCTATTCTTAGAATGGTAGAGTCTGCACATATTTACTTGAATATAATTTTCAAGAACATATACTAAATATTGGCCATAAATCTTTTGCTACTTTTTAAAAGATTGATTTAGAATACATCTAATAATAGATTTCTGAACCTCACTGTGAATCTCGTCCATCATATCTGAAGTATTCCTTTATTCTCAAACACCAAATTGATAACTTTTGGGCTCACACTCACCCATCTGAATCATCAGAGCTGGAATTATCATGATTCTGCTCAGCCTTCCATCTTTTATGTCTGTCAATGAGATCTGTCAAGTAGGAAGTTTTCTTTGCATTTCGTATTATAAATTTGTGCTTCAGGAGTTCTTTGGCTGTTGGTCTCTTAAAAATAGAAAGTAAGTTTTTTTACTAAACTGAGTTCAGTTACAATACGGCTAAATTTATTTATCTGTTCACTTATTTTTTAAATTTATTAGCCAACCATCTTGATAAGAGTGGTAAAAATTTCCACGTTTTGAAGCAATTGGGGGGGGGGGGAAAATCAATGAAAATAAAAGAGCTATTATTTATACAGCTCTTGTTATCAATCATATTGATCTCACCTCCATCCATTTATTCATGCCTCAGAACCTCATATATGCAGAAAAAAAGATTTTGTTCTGCAGTTGCTCTTTATAGATTGTGTATAATTTGGTTTTATTACTAAAAGTAATAATGGAAAAGTACCATTTATTCAAACAGCAATTATGCTTATTTTGAATTTACATTATAATCTTTTCATTCTTGTGGCAAAATAAGCGGATAAACTCTCAGGAGCTTCTCTTTTTGTTTAATGTGGGGAATAAGAAACCATCAATGCTGTAAATCAAGATAGGGATTTTACAATTTTATCAGATAGATACAGAAAGCTCTGTTTTAGACATAAGTTGTGTAGAAAGAGAATACACGTTTTTCCAAGTGAAACAGTCCAATTTGTCTCTTGTAATGAATCTGAAATGTTACCATTCCCAGCACTTACTACTTCTCATTCTTTATTGATACTATTTTATTTTCATGAGTTTCTATAAATATAAGTTTTGCATAAACTGTATTTATGCAAATATATTTGAATATATTTCTCCACCTTTCCCCAGTTTATTTCTTCAGTTGGTATATTTCTTTCACATCTTACGTGCCTTATGTATCATTAAAAATAAAATATTAATATTTCATAATCCTTTTTTTAATTTCCCAGTTTTGGGGAAGGAGGAAATCTGAAACTAGAAAAAATAAAAATGTTTTTATTTCAGACCTTCACTGTTTCAAACTTTCCACAAGTTTTCAATTATGGAACAGTTCCAAATATCCTATTTTATACAGAACGTGAACAAACTGTGAGTAGGACAGAAGTAAAACTTACAGCAAGCTGCAAAAGCCTTTAATAGAATGAGTCTAAAGAAGTGCCAGGCTGAGAAACACTGGACTGAAATAGAAAATGTATACTTCTTCAAATGAAGATAGTACTCCATCCTTGGTTTTGAGTAAGGAACATAAAACTTGTTTAGATTTAACTCTTAGCTGGTATGCTTTATATTTTTAAAATAAATGTTAAATGGCATGAACATTCATGTAGGTTTATTCCTAGGAAAACAGAAAAACATGGAATCAGCTCTTCTGCTGCTACAACATGCAGAGACATCCACCAAAATCTAGTAACTTACAAAACTGGGGTCTTTGTTCAAGCAGGCCTCAACGAACTCCTTTAAAGGTTTACTGTAGTTTCCTTCTAAAGTTGGTGGGTTGTTCTTTGGGATCAGAAATAAAACTTTCATTGGATGTAGTTCGGAATGTGGTGGTTCTCCTTTCGCAAGCTCTATGGCTGTTATGCCCAGGGACCATATATCTGCCTATTAACAGAAGGATGAGTTTATAATTCGACAGAAATGAAAAAGTGAAATCATTTACATCATTCCTATCTTTTTACCAACTTGTTGTTGTTGTTAGTTGCAAAGTCGTGTCCGACCCATCGCGACCCCATGGACAACGTTCCTCCAGGCCTTCCTGTCCTCTACCATCTTCTGGAGTCCATTTAAGCTCACGCCTACTGCTTCAGTGACTCCATCCAGCCACCTCATTCTCTGTCGTCCCCTTCTTCTATTGCCCTCTATCTTTCCCAGCATTAGGCTCTTCTCCAGTGAGTCCTTCCTTCTCATTAGGTGGCCAAAGTATTTGTTTTACTAACTACTCATTTCCAAATGTACCTGTTTTCCTCTCTGCTTCTTAATTTTAGCTACAAAAGTAGAATATGCATGAAATGCTTATAATCAACTTTCTGAGTCAAGTTTCCAAGGCAGCTACTTGCAAAGAAATACCCAGGGTTGCAAGCTTGAGCAAGTGAGCTTGCCTTTTACATTAACCTCAGTCAAGGAACACCGTATTAGTGAAAAACATGAAAAAGAGTTTTAGCCAAGGGTAGAAATGGATTTGGGCATAATATACATATTTCACAGAGGGCAAATCTACTTCTCTTTGTAGACCTGGTCTCTAGAAATGATACAACTGTTCTCTGATACTCTCCAGGATTTCTTTATAATGAGCAACCTACATACTGTAAATGGCAGCTACAAAAGAATTGTTGTCGTCAGTCGCCTATCAGGTGATATAAAAGCTGCATTATTTTAGCTGGTGCAAAAAGTAGCAGTTGACAATAGCCAAAGAAATCAGTTTATTTTCATTTCAAATTTTAAATCATCATCATGCATTTATTCATGTCATCCGGCCTATTGAAGAGCCTGCCTATAAGCTTCCACTGTTATTCTTCATCAGAGCAATGTAATCAAAATGAAGAAAATAATTTTAATATGTTAGGGATAATTCTCATGACACACCAAGTAAAGCCAATACCCTTGGAAGAATCTTTTACATACTTTCTGTTTTTAATAATAGTCTTCATTCCAATAAAATAAACAATTATTGGAATCCACAGACCTCTTCTGTAAAGCTCATCTATTGCCTGGGGTTGGACTAGAAGACCTCCAAGGTCCCTTCCAACTCTATTACTACTACTACTACTACTACTACTACTACTACTACTACTACTACTACTACTACTACTACTACTACTATTTAGACCAGCTCTCAATCTCCTACAATTTTCTGCCACACAGATTAAGTTTCTAAAGTATTCCAGAATGTGACTGTAACCATAATACAAACTACATGGAAAATACAGATCTTTTCCAGCATTCCCATATCATTCCACATGTGGAAATTACAATTAGAAACCATGGAATGGCTGTGCTCTCTTTTATAAAAATTCCCACAGATGATTTGCCAAATGCACATTTGCACATCTCACAGTGCAAAATATATTTCTGTCTTCTAAAAAAGATAAAAGAATACAGCTCTGAGTGATGCCTGAAAATATTAAGTAGCACATTAATCTTACCTTTGAATCATAAGCTGATTGCTTTATTACTTCTGGCGCCATCCAAAATGGTGTGCCCACAAATGTATTTCTCTTTATTTGTGTATCAGTTAGCTGTCCGGCTACACCAAAGTCTGCTAGCTTGACTTCCCCTTGTTCTGAGAGGAGCACATTGGCAGCTAGAAAATATTTTTTGAAGAAATTTGTAATTTGAAAAATTAAGCTTAAATTGTTAAAATGCTAACAGAACCCCAAATAGTTTTACCTTTAATATCTCTATGAATTTTCTTTTCTGAATGCAAATAATCCAGTCCTTTCAGAATCTCTCTTAATATTGTAGCAATCTGGATTTCATCAAGTGAACCTGGTTCTAACTAGAAGAGATACATTATTTTCAGGACAAAAGTCCAAATAATTAACGATCAATAACTAAAAACAATGAAGTCCAATAAAGTACATTTTTATTTATTCTAATTTTATTAGAACTTGTTCTAATGCTCAACAATTCTGACAAGTCACCCAGAAGCATTCTTGCCTGAGAATGCACTTGAATTTAGGTCTTTCAGGTTTAACATGTTAATCCCTCAAATATTTATTTTTGGGTGTAGCAAACATGCATGTTTCTATGAGGCCCATCCATGAATAGAGTTGCAGGGTATGGTTTGCAGGTGAAAGAACCATCCATGTGCACTTTTGACTAGAAAAATAAACACTGTAATTTGATACCCATAAGCTAAATAAATTTCTAATATTATTCAACCAAGATTTTTTTCAGTAATGCATATATAATTCTCCCTTGCTACATAATAATTAAAATTCTGTTTGTGAAATTTACATGTTCAGTGGCCATAGATCTATTTTTATGATGTATATAAGACATAAAAGCTACAAGACAATATTTAAACATTCAGAAGAATTATAGAAATTGTAATAAAAACTGGTTACTTACAAGGTCAAGGGCAGATCCACCACCAAGGTATTCCATTATTATCCATAATTTTGTGTCCTGTTGATGTATACAAAATGACATTCAAATAATGAAAAAACTAATGTCATCATAATTGCTGGAATTGGGTATGTCTAGTTTAACTAAGAGAAGGACAAGGGGGGACCTGATAGCAGTGTTCCAATATCTCAGGGGCTGCCACAAAGAAGAGGGAGTCAAGCTATTTTCCAAAGCGTCTGAAGGCAGGACAAGAAGCAACGGATGAAACTAATCAAGGAGAGAAGCAACCTAGAACTAAGGAGAAACTTCCTGACAGTTAGAACAATTAACCAGTGGAACAACCTGCCTCCAGAAGCTGTGAATGCTCCAACACTGGAAGTTTTTAAGAAGAGACTGGACAGCCATTTGTCCGAAATGGTGTAGGGTTTCCTGCCTGAGCAGGGGGTTGGACTCGATGACCTCCAAGGTCCCTTCCAACTTTTATTATTATTATTATTATTATTATTATTATTATTATTATTATTATTATTATTATTATTATTATGCCTGCTTCATATCATGCCTGTACTTAACAACTTAAAGAAAGCACATAGTGAATGACAAAATAAATATGATTTGCCACCATAAATAATGGCTTATTTGTCATTGTAAAATAAATAAACAGATATAGTTACAGGTA